GTTCTCCCAGATGTAGGGGAGACCGGGTATAGTTGTCTCACGGGTTGGTTGTCACAGCGGCCATATTGGAAAATTGAACAAACGAAAGAATTTATCGAACAAAATAGAAGGATCGCGAGAGAAATATCTCCTTCCTCACGTCACTTCAGTACTCTCATACTGTGTGAGGGAGATACGCAGTTATACTGCGTGATGCAAAAAAAGTGGTTTTGGGATTAATTATTTTCGCAATTTTACACAGTTTTGTGAAAATTCACTGTCGAAGAGATGAGCAACAAGGTGTTATCAATACCATCAACAAAAATTGGTTATCAAAGGTATAGGCAAATCTTCACCGACAGATAGAAGAAAGAATTAGAAAGATACTAAAGATACATACTTATGACTTCAAGTATTCATTTCGGTTCGTCTCCCAAGGATATTCGAAAAACATTTACCATAATTGTGATTTCGAATATTCACTGAATTTTAGATTGATTAAATATAATTTCGCTAGGATGGGTATTTTTAGTTAACAGGCATTGCGGCCTGATGGATATTTTTGGTATTTTAGTTACCAGAAGGAAGTTATTTATTTGGAGCAAATAGTTTTTTCCAACAAATGAGACACTTGTTGTCTTTTTTTGAGTATAATTAATTACCTATATTATTCCACTTTTATTCCCCTTAATTACCTAGGTAACTCTTGCCCCAGATACTGTGACAAACATCCTGGGTCCGGGGTTAAAAGTCACACTTTTTTTCCATTATATTTCCTCTATATATGATGTTGGAGAGAAAAATAATATTTTTTTACTGAGAATTTCTGCGGGAATCTCTCATATCTCTTAAATGGAAACGAATTGAATCAATTACAAAAATTACAGAATCGTGGAATGCGAATAATATTACACTGCAATAGAATGACACATATACGATATGCTCTGCAGTTTGAGGTGGCTTAATGTCTGTCAACGACTATACTATTAAACTATGTTATTCATATTTAAAATAATGAGTAAATTGCAACCAACATACTCAGTAAACCTTTTAATCAGAAATAGTGAAGTACATCATCATAATATCAGATCAAACACCAATTTTCACATCCCAAGGACAAATTCACTTAGCAGTATGAACTCAGTTTGATATTCTTCTTGAAGATGATCACTTGGTGATCGAAACACGTGTTGAGGTGTTAAAATAATGGTTTGGTGTTGGAAAAAAACTCCAGCAATATTCATTACAGTGGATCACATGTGCCAAATAATATAAAAAATTCTTCTTCTATCCGTCTATTCAAGAGGGACTTGATAACATTTATAACGACAAGCTGAATTAAAACTCATTTATATTCAAAATATATTAATAACTAAGACTTTGTTCCCAATGAATATGTAAATGAATATGTAAAAGTGTATCCTACATAGCATACATGCGATATAGTTTTTTTATGATTTTCTGTTATTACGTTAAAAATAGAATTTATTGTGATTTTTATGTATTATGTGTAGATAAAGTACATCAATTATATTTATATTAGGCTTGCCTATCTGGAAATAGAGTTCTTCTTCTTCGTGCAACTCCATATTTTTATAAAGCTCTTTTCACCTCTTTGAGAGATCTTCATAACAAAACAGACTTTTCGCATTAGTTTTCATTAAAAATGAGGACGGGTCAATAGTAAATTAATTTTTCGTCGTTCCGTACCTATACGAGTAAAAGTATTTTTCAGATGAAACCCACATCTGGAATGCAATATGCAATATATGTTATTACATTTTAAAAAACTCATCAATACGCCACGCTTCTATACTGGATAACCGTATATTAGTGAATATATCAGAAAAGCCCAATATATTGTTATCTAAAACTTGTACATGAAACATTTTTCGATATCTTCACCACTCCATCGCAAACTTGATGTGACACACCCTGTATGGACACACATAACCTCAATCGTAATATTTCTTTCTTGAAAAACATTCAAATAACAGTATGGGTTGACTTGCAATAATTTCTATAGATGTTTATCATCTGATCGACAGTTATGTAATTTTAAAATTAAGGTTATTAGTTTTCAGTAATAAATTTTTATTGAGTTTTGCAAAAGAAAGATCAGGTGATCCAACCGACCAGCACTCTACACACTACACTAAAAAATGATACCTACTTCGTTTAATAACCGGAATAATAATCTCAGTCATAAAACAATTATTCTCTGGCGAATGCCACTGAAAATATTCAATGATTTTTGTATATGTACATGGGGCATTGCAAGAATAAACGAAATGAAAAAACTTTGAGAAATATTTTTGTGTTATTTTTGCCTAACATAGTACTAATCATTTCGGTATACCTTGAGGCTACGCCACTGATGTGTAATAACACGTTTGATCTGCAATTGAAAAAATGTGCTTTAAATTTGTTCACTTCGAGGGAATCGTGATGTTAAGAAAGATATAAACTGCCGTTTCATACATGTTGGTTATGTGTTCCTGGCATTTAATGAGCACTTTTAGAGCGAAAAAATATATACGAATGTCTCTTCTCTGTAATTACCTAATTCTATACAATTCGTCAGAGTTTCGAGAAAAAAACGTGTGCGAATTTGGGAAAATTAGTTCGTCGTTCGTTTACCTCGAACTGATTATTTGCAATTTATTTGAGTTGCCAAAAAATATCTTGTCCAAGTCCGGGGGGTAGAAATGTTGCGGGTGGCATTTTCCATTTATATTTACATATTTCTTACACGTGGTGGAGATACAGTGAGGCAGGCAATTAGTGAAAACAATAATTTCATCGTCCGTGGAAGAGATCATGAAATAATACTAATATAATATTGAAAAAGTCAATAAAATGGTACCCAAAATTTAATAGTTTTTTTCATCAATAATGCAAATTATAAAATAGAAATGTCGATATTTCATCAAAATGTTACCTACCGCTATGTTTAGATCAGACTTTATTTATAGAAAAATTTAACAACAATTTCAAAGAAGTTTGTTTTGTTCGTAATGTTACTTCGTAATATTCGTAATATTACGAAGTCTAAATTAATATTATGTGCAGTAAAGGATACATCAAAAGAAAAATACATGTTACAATGTTTACAAAAGCATGGAGGTGGTGAGAGCTTTGCTTACTTTTGCTGACAAGGGGGATGGGGGAGTTAATAATTGTAATGAGTATGCTTACGTAGTATTTGAATGGCCCCTGTATAAAAATAGAGAAAACATTAACATATTAATTTATATCAAACTAGCTCATCATTTTTTTCATTGCCTAGTTACAGCTAGCGGACTGAGTCATGGGCGGTGAGAGAAATCGCATTGTATCTTCACGAGTTTGACTATTTAAAATATGTTTATGCAATTTACTTTTGAATTCTATCACTAACTGAATACTGTCCCGAATTTTGATGTTTACGGCTCGAATAATCTAACAGACTGATAACAGATTTCTACACATCTACTGCACATCTTGAGGTAGGGGCTTCTGTCTTCTATCAAGTGAGTTATCACTGTGAGTTTCTATAAGTTGTAATCCGTAATTTGCCATTATGCTATGTCGAAGCTTTAGGGATAATTGAAGTATATAGTCTTCTGTAACACGTAAATTTGCTTGTTTGCTTGCAATAGCTTAAGCTGTCACACCCTGTAATAATTTGGTTCAGTTGGTTGAGTGGAAGAAAGCACTTTTCCAACATCTCTTCAAGTGCGAACTCTGCCTTTTGATAAGTCATTTTCTTTAGCGCTATTTTAGTTTGATTCTACCAATTAAATCATATATTATTATTATGTAACTCGATGAGTTTTCCAGTCTGCATTGTCCCACCCTCAAGAGTGCATCTGTAGGAGTGGTTTTTTTCATCTTTGGCTACCAAACCATAAGTTCATAACTTATCATGGGTTATAAACCATAGGTGTAGATCCAATACCCCATGTCTTTCTGCAGATGTGTCTGGCCAGCATCATTGCTACCTTCACCTTTCTTCCCCAGGTCAGCCTAAGATCTAGTATCGCTCTCAGATATCGCTCCTGAACTTTTAAAAACTGCCACCCTCTCAGTTTAAAATCAAAATGAAATTATATCTTTTTCAAAATCAATAACATGATGAACGTTTCACCATCCCGCTTTTCAATCTTTTTATTTTTTTACTCTTTGAGCGATTCCTGACCAATAATAGTTTGCCTAGTTTTGTATCATCGCCAGTCACTGATCTTTATTCATGTATTCATATACTTATGTTAATGATATGCTACTTCAATACCCATGCAGAGAATTTTTTAGGTTAAGTGGAAGAACAATTTAGTAGTTATTTGCATAGCTGTGAAAATTGAACTTCGCCTTTCACTATAACTTTATTGTAATTTTTTTTGTGTGGTTGTAGTAATAAAGACGTTTATTATTATTATTATTATTACATTTGATATTCACAGACAAATTCATCCCCCCACCTGGAAGTTTTAGAATACTATTGTTTTGGGCCTTCTTGGTGAATGCTACTATGGTCGATTTTGTTTGGCTTATGTTCAGCCCTTCCTAATCAAATGGACCATTTAGTTATACTATTCAGGGCCTGCTGCATACGTACCGTCACTTTTTTCAAGGACAAGACATAAGCACTAAAGGAACATCCTTAAAGAGCTTTAAGAGCGTTGCCTCTGTATTGGTCCTGGACTATACGTAGTAGTAATTCGTCCATTACAAGGCTCCATAACAACTACTACTTTTTCTCATGATGGTGGTACATACCAATCGTCCTCTTCTCGTCGATGTCTGGATTATTCATTCTAGGGTATAAATATCTATTTAATATCTTATTATGTGAACAATTATTATGGGCTGCATTTTATTTTCATTATACTTGAACTTACTCAAATTGTTATCTGTTACACAGCTATGATACAAATGGTCTTCTCAGTCATGACAATCGGGAGTTTCCACAACATAAATAGAATACATACAATTTTTGTGTATATCTGTAGTTCTGGTTGATGCTATTTCTCAATAAAAAATCAATTTCTTAACGATTTATTAACAAATCAGTACAGTACAACTACGCTTATAAAAAATAATAAGAAAATGTATAGCTCCACAAATCCCAGCTTTCTACTGACAAAATCCCACTCCTGAAGCCAAAATAGCAACACTTGACTTCCTGTAGTAGATCCATTACAAATAAAAAGCTCCCTTATTAGTTTCCTGGAGTTGGCACGTTGAGCAGCAAGTTCTGACCTCCCGGAAGATATGATACTTGTCTTGATTTGGACAGTTGATAGGCAATATCCTCAGCTGCTTCGATTCTCCTCAATTCGACAAGACCCTCTCCAGCATCACCAAAAGCTTTGGCCAACAGAATAGCAGCTTGGGCATCACCTTCAGCTGAGAGAATTGTTGCTTTTTTGGTCTGTTCTGCCTTCTCTACCAAGAATCTAAAATGAAGAATAATATGAATACTTATTGAATAACACAAACAAACCAAGCCCAACCTAGCTTTTTCTGCTTCCTGTTGTGCAACTTGTTTCAGTTCAACAGCCTGTGTAAACTCTCTACCGAATGTTAAATGTGTTAAAGAAATGTCGTCTAGGATCACACCAAACTGTCCCGCTCTTTCTGTCAGATCATCACTGACTTTTTGTGATACCAAGTCACGCTGGGTGATCAGTTCTCCTGCGTCAAACTGAGCTACTACGGCTTTGAGAACTTCAGTGGTGATCGATGGTAGTACCCTTTCTTCGTAGTCCTGTCCTAGGATAGTGTATATTTTCGGAAGCTCGTCTGGGACTGGTCTGAACAGAATACGAAGGGTGATGTTGACATTTTGCAGATCTGAAATGAATCACCAATTTTTCAATCAATCACTGTATCAATGGTATTTCTCATTGATAAAGCATAGGTTCACACTACCTCTACACACTTTTTCCTATTCAGTTTGTAATCCAAGCATTCGTTATGGAACTGAATCAGATGTTTCAATGGAACGCTGCAAAATATAGGATATGAAAGAGATAAAATTTCACTTACAGGAAAACATTGATGTTTCAGAATAAGACATTGAGCAGCAGCAATTTGGATACCATTACATTACCTTGCAATGTTATCCAAATTGGTGCTGAAGAAGCAATAAAACAAGTGTCTTATTTCAAAACATCGTTGTCCTCCATTGAAGATGACAGTGTTCCATATAAGTGAAATTTTATCCCTTTCATATACTATATTGTGTAGCTTCCTGTGAATGATATCTGATTCACAAAAATTTGAGAAATAAAACTTCCTATGTTTTCATACCACTTATATTTGTAACTATCGTTACTTCAGTTTCGTCCTGTATGGTCATTTGCAAACGAATATTGTATTTATTTTATTTGTTTGAAAATGTCCTTCTAGGACGAAACTGTAGTTATGTTGATTACATGTACAAGTTGTATTAAAACAGAGGAAGTTTTATTTCTCAAATTTTCAACTTCCTACCATGTAGTACAAACTGAATAGGAAAAGACAGTTTTTGTATAATTCAATGTTCATATAAAAGTTATGGTTTAAAAAGTTATTTTTTTTCTCATGTAGTACAATGTTTATACAAAGATAGCTGTTTCAAGAGTATTTGTTTTGCAATTTGTATCTGAAAGTAACGTCTACATATCTTTGCAGAGTTTATTTTGAAATTAATTGCTTTCTTCCTTTCTGTGCATGTTTCCTACATTTTTTTGGTAAAGACGGAAAAGTAGAAAGCCAAAACCTAGGTGACAAAATACCTTAAGGTTTACTTAACTTTTTATTTTGGCAGATATAAGATTGAAAAACTTCAGACTCTTTGAAAAGGCTGTTTTATTACCTTTGTTGTTTTAACTGACAAAGATATGGCGTACACTTGCGATCTGTTTGCATCTTTTGAAGTTGATGAGGTGACCTGTACCAAGGTGATGTTTGTATAGGGCTGAGGTTATTTGTTCGTTACAAAGTGAGAGTTTGTGATCCTCTAATCTGACTTATATTCACCTATTTGTTTGAACAATGTATTCTCCGCTGAAATCTCCACATGAGACCTCATGATTTGGTTTTCTAGGTTGACTTTGTCTTTCGGGTTATTCGAGGAATTTCTGGTAAAGAACCAGAGAATCAGGGTCATGAGGGAGGAAATTGAAATCAAGAAGATAGGCAATCTAAACAAGAGAGATGATGCACACCACCTCTCAGCTGCAAAAAAATCATCACATTCAATACCAAGGCCAGTACACCACCAACAGCAAACTTATCATGATGAACAATAATCAATGAGCCTCCAGTTGAGCGACAGACTTCACATCACTTATCTACTCCTTTAACCAATCAGAATGCTTCATGCCAAGCATTTTGATATGCCGACCAATAAGGACATTCCACACCACAATTATAGCCTACTGCAGTCTATAAATGAACAGGCATTGATAAGAACCACTTCAGTTTTCAGTTCAGCTACCAAGTACAGCACATAAGTATGGCAAGTGCGATATTGCCAAACTATCATGATTGTATCAAAGACATAGAAATGTACCCCTGAGATTCCACTTTAGCATATAGTGGACGACTATACCAAAACATATACATACCTGAAGTCCGAGTTAAACTGTGTCTGATGTTTTTAGTTGTAAGGCGTTTTGACTTTGAACCCATTTTCAAGAAGCTATAACTACACTAAGATCTCAATCTGCCTACACCTCAGGTAGTGACACGCTGAGGAATAGACAGATATAACTCTTCCAAGTAATCAAAGATAGCATCAATTGTAATTTTAGAATTTTGGGAGACAAATTGGAAATGGCTCAATTAGTTGGATTTATTTAAAAAAATACTCTTTTTTTATGAACGTATGCACATAAAGAACTTGATAATTTCACTATCAACATTCCAATGATCCAATTCAAATTTAATTAATATATTTCAAGCAATATAATGGTAATATTGAATTGCTATGTTGGATGTGATTTTTTTCTGCTAGTACATTGGGTCAATGCTTATTTGAATTATAGTTGAAATTATATAAACATGATTTTGGAAAAGGCTAGATTCAACAATAAATTGTGCAATTACCTTTACTTCCAGTTACAACAGGAATGTTCCTAGGCCTAGACCTAACATCAAATATGATTGGTTTCTGTACCCATGGAATGAAAAAATGTGTTCCTTCTCCAATTACTTGCTTTTTAACTCCAGAGAATCTGTCGAAAATTACCGCCCTGTGTCCACCATCCACTGCAATTGAAAATGTTCCAATAAATCAAAAATTAAGGGTATGAGAAAAAAAGTGGGAGGGGTGATTGAATAAATTTGATAACTCACCATTATACAAGGCAGAGTTAACAACTCCTCCAACTAATGCTATTCCTAATCCAACCTGTCCGATTCTATTAAATACCTGAGCGGCAGACATAATCTGAAATATAAAAGGGAATTCGAGACATACAAGGACATTGCGCAATTTTAGGTTAGAATTTTCAAGATGGAATTAATAAAACTCACCAATGTTTTAACTGGAAGTATTGATGAAAATAATCTTATTCTCCTGTAATCTTAATACGTAAACTCAAAATGAAATATTTCACACAAAAAATATAAAGAAAATGTCTGATCACAATGCCGAATTTTGACAATTGACGATTTTTAATACCCACATGCTTTCTAAAGGAGGTCACACACAAAGAATACACCAACTACCGTCACACATGATATTCATATATTACTAATCAAGTTCAGTGAGTAATTATAGTGAGATGGTGAGTACAAAATTTTTGCAATAGAATTTTTTGAAAACTGTTGCAGTTCTCACTCAAATTCGTTTTTATACAGTATAAAAAAGTTATTTAACTTTTTAAATTTCATGACTTAATAAACACTTCAAAAGAAACATTTTATATGTCATGAAGTTGAAAATCGAAAACGTTCGCATTTGATAATGTCTACCGCAGTAGTAGAAGAAACGTCAGGCATAAAAACCTGCAGACCACGGCCAAAAAACCCGGAAAATAGCTTTCACACAGTTATATCTCCTGCCGTGAAAGTTTACATTCTTTGATAAGAATAAGTAAAGTTATGAAACATACATGCACGTACATTTCAATAAATTTTTGGAAGCTTTGTGTTGAACACTTTTTGAGAAATGACAGCATACAGAGTCCAGCACGACGACCGCTGTTAAGCCGTATTTTGAGAAATGATAGGACTCATTATGAAAATTGGCGATTGTAGATCTTATGGTATGCTCTATATCAAATGCGTAAAGAATGAAAAGAATGCGTTTCAAAATTGATACTGTGTATACTCCATATCTAATATTTACATTACTCCCAATGAAGCTACGGCGTTAGCGAAACGCGTCTACAATAATTTTTTTGTGAAAATTGACTAATTATTATCATGGATTATTATTATTCATTATTAATTTTCATCAAGTTACGGGTAAATGTATTGATAATTTGATATCTAATATGTAAAAGGAGTTAACAATTGAAGAAGCCAAGTGAGTTTATTCAGCAAGATTAAATGTGCTTTTGTAGTCCACCACTGATAATAATATGTTTCAAATGGAAAAATGAGTAAATTCATCGTTGAATAAATTACCCGCCAATATTGGGTTTTCTTCAGTTTACTTCATTCTAATTTCTCATTTTGTCGCGGACCATTAATAATACTCGTTTGAACGTTAGCTAAGAGTGTAAAATAGCTATATTCATACCGATTAGATTGAACTACTGTTGAAGTTATATGTCACATGTCAGAGTGACATTCAATACACGGTTTTTTGACATTCCACATGAAAATAAAAAAAAGTAAACCTTAAATATTTTGACATGGGCCCTCAGCAGCCAGTCCCAAATGAGTAATCAACGTGAGCATTTGTAGTTCCCAATCATTATAAATAAACATTCAGAAAAGTTCAGTCGTAAGCAGATATGGTAGACTCTCCTATAGATATTTTACCAGATGAAGTGTTGGAATTTATTTTATCGCTGATTCCGCCTTACAAGGATTTACACGAGTGTATGGTAGTTTGTAGACGGTGGCGAAGATGTGTTTTGAGTAAGACAAACTTACCTATTTGTTGACTTTGAACTATTTTTAGAAAACATTCTTTGTTAGAGTCAGTTGACCCCTAGAATTATTTGGCCCTTGTTCTCTTTTGTTTTATGACAAATACGATTATCAATCTTTTTTTAGTGTAACATAAAATTATTTATTAACTCACATTAATAATTTATTTTCAGATGTAGTGAAAATAAAGCAACGAAATCTGTACCGAGCCATAAACGACTTCGACATAAGATGGGAGAGATTAACGCCTCTAGACATGGCCCCTACGATACAGAAACGCTATTCACACAATGCGGTGGTTCATGAAAACTCAATGTTCATTTTTGGAGGCTGCACTTGCACCATGACCACTTACAATGATCTCTGGAGATTGGATTTATCGAAACGTCAATGGATACGTCCCCTCGCCATGGGCAACTACCCATCTCCCAAAGCCTGCAGCTCTCTCGTTAAGCATGGTGATACTCTTATACTATTTGGGGGTTGGGCATATCCACCATCTTATCCACTTTATCAAAGTTGGCACCTATTCAATGAACTTCATGTTTACGATATAATAGGGAATCGTTGGACATCTGTAACTACTTTGAATACGCCACCCCCTGTTGCAGGTCACTCAGTATCCATTATAGGGGAGTGGATGATTGTTTTTGGGGGACTGCAGAAGCCTTCCAATGCTGTACACTGTGAAAAATCAAATGAAATATGGAAGTTGAATTTGAATTCTTGGTCGTGGCATAAACAGGCAGTTGAAAGTGAGTTCAAAGAATGATGTTATTTTAGATAAAAGTAGTGAAATATGACACATTCTCACATTTTATTAATGCATACCATATAAATATATCTGAATCAAAGTTACTTACATAAAAAGAGAAGTGAAAGTATGGAATGTATATACTTCACAAATATAAAGATTTAACGTATTCAAAAAACACTTTATTGTGAGATTTTCACTAAACAATTTTACAAAAATGCAACACGTGTTTCGCCGCACTCGGGCGGCTTTACTAGTAGAGACACTCCCGAAGAAGCCAGTGTATGGCGAAACACATGTTGTCTTGACTACATTTCAATATTTTATTTTCTATAATGGCAATAACAATAAAAAAAACCTAAATTTGGGACGAGTTTTGGAATTTATTTGAGAGCAATACAAAATGTTTTGAAAACCATATGTTTTGGTAAACACTGGTTTATGATACTTCCAATAAAATGTATTTCTATAAAATGAGGAACTATTTCAAAAGTGGCAACGGAAATGACAATTTCAAACTTTACCCAAAATTAATTTCTTCTGCATACAGATCACAGCATAATGACTGTCATTTAGCCATATTTTGGAGAATTATAGGACTCTATCAAAGGAAATTGATAGTATTGCTGCATCACTTTCGGTTATACCGAAAATCGGTACAAACCTCCATATTTCAAATAGAAAATATACATTTTCTCATTTTTGGATACCTAGCTGAATATTTCAAACTAAAGTCTCAAAATATTCATCTCTCCAAGCTTAGCTACACAGTAAAAATTTGTTTAAAAAAACCTGTTTTTCCGTTAATCAGTAGGTTCTGTTAAATGCCTGCCAGAAAACAACTTCTTCCCTGGCTAATACCAAGCTGAACATTGAATTATATCCATTAGAAGACTGATTAAATTCATTTCGAAATGTTTATTTTCTTATTTGAGTATAAGTTTATGCAATACATTCTATACCAAAAACTCGAGATATTCAGTTATTTATTTAAAAAAAAACTAGGAATTCTGCTCTGCAGTAATTCCTTCAAGTAAATGAGCTAATGATGCATTTTTAAAATGCTTTATTTCATCGTTCTCTAGGTTTAAGATTTCCAAAATCTTACACAAGGTGTTTGAAATCAGTTACTAATTGTGAAGATATATAAATTGATCAAAACTTTGAAAAACACCCATATGCCACATTTTCCCATATGTTTTTTCATTTTGTAGGTGGCCCTAAACCAAATGGACGATTTGGACAAATTCAAGTTGTTTTGGATGATGAAAACTTATTAATCTTAGGGGGCTCTGGGGGCCCGAAATTTCATTACTGTGATTGCTGGCTGTTAAATATGTCTGGGGATCTTTGGAGGTGGAAGAAAGTGGAAATTATTGGGAAATGTAATGAACCTTCAAAAATGTGGAGCATTCCAGGCTGTAAGGTAGGTTTTCAAGTAATTCTGTATGCGGTAAGTTCCAAAAGTTTTTTCAAAACCAGCCTAGAACTTGTGCTGTCTAGAGATGAAACCTTCACATGCAAATTTTTTTTGACAACTAATAACTTTGTTATACTTTTATAGGTTTTCAACTTGTCTGTGGACTTTTTTTGTGATTAGATTAGTGATATTTTTTCTGTTTTGCTTTTTTCAATTCTCAATTATTAGATTTTTGCAAACATGTATGATTTTAGATACGATATATCTCTCTATAGCTATCAAAATTTGAAAAAAAGGGTTTTTTTTGTCAACCATGAAGGGAAACATATTTCCTTGAAACTAAAATTGCATCACTCTACTCAAACTCTAACTACTCAAACTCTAAAGAGATCTGCAACATTAACACAATCACTAAGGAAAATTTCAATTCATCTCTTCTTTCTTCTTCATATCTTCTTTCATAATAAAATTGAAAGGGCCACAGAATCACTATAGACAGACACATAATTTTCCAAAAAAAAATGATTTGTTGATTCTGATTACCACTTTCACCTTCTAATGGTTTTACTTGCCTCCGTACAAACAACCACCTTCAAAAGTCTAAACCTGTCCTAGCCAAGGAATAACGAGGTCGTACCTGTTAACGTGCGATTCATAACACAAATACAGAAACTTCATGTTCATCTTACAAATATTCATATTCAGTATGTTATAATCAATCTGAATTCGAACTTCAAACCAGAACTATCTAACTTTTCTCGAATGCATTTCACTAATCAAGTTAGCATATCATCATGATACTGATTTGGATTTCAACCAAAAACTAGCAGTATAACAATCTGCCCCAGTTAAATAAACATCCAACCCACTTTCCTTGTTTTAATTTCTAGTCATCATAACATGCGGTCTTTTGAATTGAAGAGGATATATTTTTAGGAGTGATTAATTTTTGTGAAAGAAAGTTTTTGGCTTTCTACTACTCCATCTTGATACAAAAACAAGGATGAGGGAATCTTCCAAGGAAAGGAAGGAAGTTGGGACTNGATAGTAAGTAAAAGGACAGACTCTCGAAATACCATTCATTTTTTAACCTTCTTGGCCTTGCTATTTCTACATCATTCCATATGAAAGGGTGGAAGAGTTTCAAAGAAGGGAAATAAGTAATTATCCTCAATGAACCCTTAAAAAAAAAAGTCCATCCGAAACAACTATCAGGTTGTTTCAAAAGTTTTGTCCGTTTTCATGAGTATACTGAACTGTTGTATTTCAGTGAATATTTATTCAATTTTTTTAAAATAAGCGCCATTTGAACCAGTGCACTTTTGTTGTGCCAACGTTATACAAGTCAGTTATTTCTGCCAGCATATAAAATGCTGACGACTGAATGCCGTTTTTTGTATGGTCCTGATTGGCAAAAGTTCTACCGGTGAGAGAGTTATTGAATTGCTTGAAAAGATGGTAGTCGGTTAGCGAAAGGTCTGGGAAGTTACTTTAGTAAATAAATCTACTTTTCTTCCAATCCTATCGTATTTTTGTGTTTTTATTGTAGATAGGCGATAAAATTGTGATGTTAAACAGGATACAGGAGCCAGAAATTTCACCAATAGCATACTATCCTAAAAACACATGGAACATCGACAACAGGACTGTTCCTGAAGACGGACGTTCAGCTCGGATAGATCTTGCTTCTAGAAATAATGATAAGGACGAGAACGTTAATGGAAAGCGTGGCACTCTAAGGAATTCCAAAAGGGAGGCAGAAGACGAAGAACCTGTGGTAGTTACAGGTGGAAATTTAGGCAGGGAAAACATCAGGGTAAGTAGTTTAGTTTGTATGAGATTGGCGTGAATCCAACAAAACATTAGAATGAGACAGAATACATGAATAAATTTTTGCTTACCAAAATTGAATTTGAAGAAAAGAGAATTCAAACTTTCTATGTTTTTTGTCACTTTTATTTTTGAACATTGAACTTATGTATAAATTTGAAAATGTCCTTATAGGACGAAACTGCAGTAACGTTAGTTACAAATAAAAGTTGTAAAAAACATAGAAAGTTTCAATTCCCTTTTCTTCATTATGATTTCCTACCACAAAGTACTAGTCTGTTACTACTACTTACTTTTTTCTTATAAAATTATTGGCTAGTTTAAGATACATCTCCAGATGAAAAACAATTGCAGTGAATTTGTAATTCCAATAAATTTTTACTGTCAATATTATGAAAAAAAAATCTGGTTAGGTCAGATGTAGCGTGGATGACTTCCTTCTGGATAGATAATTTATTTAACTACGATACATAATGTTTGTAGCAGGTCATATAAATAAACAGTCTTATTTCCAATGCTAGGTTGTGAACATCCACACATACTCATGAGTAACGCCTACAATTGAAACACAAAATAGTAAAACAATAATGAAGTAATTTAAAATGAAGATAGCTGAATATTTATGCGAATTTGCATCATGGGAAATTGAAATTTGAGAAACATATCTCATCAAAACTGTAAAGCAAGTAGAATCATATCATGCGAAGTATGTCTGTGAAAATCTTTCTTGATGTTACGTTCAATAGCTTCATACAACAAACAGCTATTAGGCGCATGCTATAATATTGTATCATTAGCGAAATGCACAATTCCCTTTTGGGGTGAATTTTATAATCAACTTTTTGAGGGCACATTAGTGTTATAAAAACAAGTAGTGAGATACATGAATTAATCAAATTTTTGTGAACCCTGCAATTCTAACAGCATATAAAGTATTCTTTCATCGAGACTATATAAAAGATATTAGGTGTTCGACCAGCATCAAAATAGGTAGAAAAGATTGGTTGATAGACTTGAGATGAATTCTATAATGACAAATTTTAGTAGGTGGGTCCAAATCCAGTATATCTGATAATGAATCCAGTTAACAATAGTAAAATGAATAAAATCATGAGATTGCTGAGAATTTCAATAATTACTTTGTTAATAGTATTTCAAATATCTCTAAAAGTATCCCTCAATCTGATGAATGGTCATCCACAAATTATTCAGTTATAAACAGTTCTTTTTCCAAATTCAAACTATTAACGATGACTCAACTGCGGAAGATTATTCATTCCTTAGACAATAAAAACAAGTCTGAAGTACTGAATAGCAAATTTTTAAAAGAAACATTCGAGGTATTTGGGTATGTGATATTAAACCTGGTGAATACATCTCTAGATAAAGGAATATTTTCAGATCAACTGAAGATAACTTCTGTTATTCCTATACCAAAGGTTAGTAATACAATTGAAGCAAGCGATTTTCGCCCAATTAATACTCTTACAACTTTGCTGAAAGTCCTTGAACTAGCAGTTTACGAACAATCAGTTGCATACTTTGATGATAATGAATTATTCTTAGGTAAACAGTAGGGATTCAGAAAAAATCATTCCTGTGAATCAGCTATTCAGTATACTTTCTCTAGATGCAAAAATATGTATGATGAAAATAAATACGCTGTAGCTGTCTTTCTTGACTTCAAGCGCGCATTTGAAACAATTGACAGAAACATTTTGATAAAAAAATTAAATTATTATGGGTTAACAAGCTCTGTGCTGGCATGGTTTCTTAGTTACCTTAGTGAAAGAAAACAGAAAAACAAAAATTGGTTCAAAAATATCTGATGAGATAGATATCAACAATGGTATTCCCCAGGGAAGTGTACTTGGCCCATTTTTATTTATTATATACCTAAATGATATTTATTATGTTCCTGGGCTACATGAACTTAATCTGTTTGCAGACAATACATTAGTTTATACTTCGAATATAGAACTCAATGATGCTGTAGATACTCTGAAAGGTTTTATGAAGAACATCGAAAAATATTTACATATGAATAAATTAAAATTATATGCAGATAAAACAAAAGCTATGGTGATAACAACTAAATATAAACAGAACTCTATTGATTATAATGAAATAAAAATTGAAATTGGTAACACTTCCTTTGAATATGTGTCTGAAATAAAGTATCTGGAATTTATTGTAGACAACACCTTGAGTCATGCTGAATACATTATAAAAAATAAAATAAAAAAAATCATATTTTTTTTTCTAGGATAGCAAATAATTTGAGTATTAACTCCAGGATATTAACTTATAATTGTATAAATAAACCTCATTTTGAGTACTGTCCAACTTTAATGCATTTAATAAACCAAAATAGGCTTTAATTTGAAAAAATATATTCAGTAACGGAGAGTTATTGAGTTCTAATTGATCATTCAGTAAATTACCCGAATTCCTGAATCTATCGATTTCTAAACATTCTAGAAGATTAAGTTTCAAACTCTTTTCTTCTAAATGTAACACCTCGTACTCGTGATTGAACTCATGTCCTTCTGCTAAAAGATGGTTTGCAAATGTGGAATTGGTCTTTCTATTTACAAAACTACTCCTATGTTCTTTAATTCGTTAGAAGAAAAGAGTTTGAAACTTAATCTTCTAGAATGTTTAGAAATCAATAGATTCAGGAATTCGGGTAATTTACTGAATGATCAATTAGAACTCAATAACTCTCCGTTACTGAATATATTTTTTCAAATGTGAAAATGGTACATAAGTGCAGTTAATTTAATTTGTTAGAAACTGAGGTACTCCATAAACTATATATATATTTAGTATGGAATGTGTAGAATTAGTTGAAAGACACGCCAGATGAAGCCATTGTATGGCGAAACACGTGTTGCGTTTTTGTAAAACAATTTAGTGAAAATCTCACAATAAAGTGTTTTTGGAATACGTTAGTTATGGATTTTCATCAAGTATTGGCCGATTCCATCATATATACTATTAATCAATTTGTTTCAGATAAACTGTCTTCCAGGATCTTCAGGTATCAATTTGGCTGCTTTCAATGTTGAGGGAAGTCGGCGCACACAAGAATCAGATAAAATTAGAGAAAAGCGTCTGGCTAACCTACTCAAAGTCGAGGAAAATCTCACCAAAGGCGCATTCAAAAGAGAGAAGAAAACACACTTTTTGGGGCTGTACGTCTTGGACATCTCCCAGGTTTTGGCGAATGGAAACATAGCAACGTGGATACCACCAAAGAAATTGAAGAATGGACCAGAAGAAAAAATTTTGTACACCTTGGTTAAGGGAAAGTCAGAATTGATTATGTTTGGGGGGATACAGAAAGATTTCAATTCGTTAGGGTTTTCAAAGAATCTGAGTAGCCAGATTTCCAACACGTTGCACTTTATTACAGCACCTAGCTACGTTATTTGAAGGGCTACAGACGTTTTTATTGTGCCATTTTCGTTTTCGAAGTGTTCCTCGGAGTTCATTTAATCCCACGGATTAAATGTTTATTTTAATTTTTTATATACTCAATGTACAAGGCAGGTGAAATGTAAAGGAATGAGATCTTGTGATTTAGTTATAATTAAGTCAGCGATTTTCAGCAAAAGATTTTTATTTTTCTTTTCATTCCGCTTTAGAGCTAACATTTCACCTATTTATTGGTACCAGTTATTTACCTAATTTATTTTGAAATAAAATTTCGGACAATTTTGTCTTCTTTTTTTAAAGATATCTAGTTACCTTTCCTTAATGAAACTCATTTTGAAGTACATATAATTAACACCATCTTTTTATCAAATGTTGATGAGTGTCTACAAAATTTAGCCATAATTCCGAATAGAACATTCCAATTTTATACTAATTCTCCAATTTTTGAACTGAATTTCGATTTTTAAACTGAACTATCTCAACTCAATTCTTGAAATTGTCTTTTGACTAATAATATAATGATTTCATTCTTCTTACTGATTCTATCATCTATTCATTTATCAGCAGGTACTTTTAGAAAAGTGTACCATCATTTATATTTCAAATTAGTCAAATAAAGATTGGAAAAAATCAATATAAAATATTCTGTATGCCTACCAAATATTCTGATGAAAGTAGATATGCATTTGAAATTGAAGTATTTTTTTATGTTCACTAATCATAAATTTGAATAATAGTACTTCGAAATTGAACAATTAAATCTCTAAATAGATTACCTACATAGTAGGTTCTAGCTTTCTATATAGACTATCCATATACAAAGGTTCTAGTTTTGTTATATGTAGGCTTTGTATATGTATGTATATAGACTAACCTATATGTTTTTTCTGTTAACCATCTATCGCACCCCTACGAATGACAACCCTCAGAAGTCACAACTTGTGCGAGCTGAGGGCTAACGAGGTATTACCTTTCAACGTGTGATTCCTAACACAAAGATATATGCATTTCTCTTCGATATAATCTTTAGAATTATTTGGATTTCAGGATTGGAGTTATCTGTTTGTATAGTCGAAGTAGCTGATATAGTAATCTTAAAGGTGTCTGGCGAAGTCAAAGGCCAAAAAAACAATACAAAGGAATTGACAAATTGGCGGTTCCTATTGAATAATTTTTACTAACCGAGTTTTATGATTGGCTGAAGAGTTATAAAATTAAATTTGAAGTCATGTTAAGGTGACCAACAGAATGTAGCGATGAGTACCGTCGTTGTGTGTGTTATTAAAGGGGAACTGCTGGAAGGTAGGGGGCACTATATCTTTTACTTGAGCTATACCGTCTTTGAAAGCGGAGATGTCATCGCCCTCACATGATGAATAATACTCAAATTATGAAGAAAAATGAACTTTTTTCTAATTCCCAGGTGAGTTGCGGTAGTTAATAATTCATTTTCCAATAGTTATGGAGATATACTTTTCTTCCTCAAATTACTCCCAGTTATTTTGAAATTATGATAAATCGTGACAAAAAATTATTTTTTAACATTTACCACGATTATATCTGAGCTAATTACAGTTAATTCAGTTGATAGGAAAAAGAACAAAAGTGTGTTTATTGTTTCAAATTCTCTTATATCCGCCCAGATTTGAAATCTTCTCTTTTAATTTCGTAAATATTCTGGTCTAAATACTCTAAATAGCTATGGCATGAAAATGAAATTTGATTTTCCACTTCTTCTCTTTAGGTGTTCCCTCTCACTGTCTCTCTAATATTGGCTTTCGCTTCCGTTCTGGCGCAATATAACACAAACTATTTACCTACCTTCTCTGGTGTTAACGAACAAATTGTTGTATTTGCAAAATTATGTTAATAAACAAATGACAATAAATATGAATAAAATATTGTTCTAAATATAATATTTTCACACAGTTATCATCTAACATTATCTATAAATAAATAATTGATAATGGACTATTGATTCCTTCTTCATCTGTTATGGAGTTCCTCAAAAACGAATTGAACTGTTCCACTCTGAATTTCAAAAGAGATGATATTTAGAGTTAATCTCAAGAGTTAAAGGCATCAACTCGAATGCAGCTTTCTTTTGAAGTTCTGTGATATTTGCTAGTAGTTCTTTCGTCCAAAAAGAAACTACGACAGAGAGTAGTGTTCTATGTGTTTACAGACAACAGACTATTACAGTGTTGTTAGATTTGTGTAGATTTGGATGAAAGCTATTTTTTTTTCACGAAATCAAAACTTCAGTTGTCATTTCAAGATGTCAATATTGTCATGAAATGAAGTTATTTCCGAATAAATATTACAAGTAATGGTTAAAGCTTTCGCGGCCGAGATTTTCAGTGTCACTATTTTTCGGGTTCGAAGGCCGTGGATTTTTGGAATTTCTTCATCAGTGCGATAATAGATGTGTCATTTGTGAAAGTCATATTGACTGCAAGAAAATTAAGTATTTTTGTTAAAATAAGAAGGAAGTGAACAAACTTAGGGTGGCAGCATTGTCTTGAGCAATACGGTTGCGCCCCCGGACGAAGCTTCTGTTCACTATGAACAGGAGGGGTCTTGTCAAATACGCTCGAATGAGAATCAACGGCCATAGAAATGAAAGCCATATGTGTTGTTTTTGTACTTCTCCTGATTATCTGAATGACCAAGATCTTCAGATGATGTGGTGCTGCAGGTTTTTCCGGGTTTTACTGCAGCTGAAAAAGCAAGTGCGCCACTGGAGTCATAGAAGTCGCCCCGGAGCGCCAATTAATTTTTGTTGTTTTATAATTTCATGATTTGTATTTCAAAGAGGTTAAAAAAAATTGAATGTATGAATATTTATATGCTATGCCGTATTATTATGACATTTCTCTATACATCTGAATCAATGTTTAATCTACGTCATAGACTCCTTGTGAGGACTTTGAAAAAAGCCGATAAATTAAATATACATCGGCATCATCAGGAAATTGTTACATCTCCAGCACTGTCTGCTCAGAGTCTATATGGTTCAGTTTCTGACACTAGCAACGATAAACACTTGCAAACTATTCAAAATAATCGAATTATAAAAACGTAAATGTGCATAATGAAAATATCCTATAAAACTGCGCATGCGCAAAAAGTTCATGTCACCACCGTAATTAATGGAAAAGAAGAAGAATTACGGTGATGTCACAAATAAGATGAAGAAAATGACAAGTGCCCTGGCAGCTGAAGCCATTAATGGAAAAAGAAGAAGAAGAAGAAGAAAATGACAAGTGGGCAATCATATCATATGTGATCATATGTTGTTGAAGTTGAAGGTTGAGGAGAGATATATTGTTTTTGTTGTTTGTTCTGGAGTTTTGTGTAAGAAATGGCAAGTAGTTCAAGGTAATTTTCGTTCATTTACTTCTTTGCGATCATTTTCAGACAGCGGGTGTTTATTTTTTTCAATTCGCTATTCAAATTATTCTAAATCTGTTTTAGATATGACACAAATAAGGTGTGCTGTATTTCTCACCCAGATGCCCCCCTTATTGAAGATTACAGAGCTGGAGACCAAATCTGTTCAGAATGTGGTTTGGTTGTTGGAGACAGGTATATCCTCAATACGGATTATAATGAGCACTTTTTCACTTATCATTTGTTGCAGAGTGATTGATGTAGGATCAGAGTGGAGAACTTTCAGCAATGAAAAGAATGGAGTGGATCCCTCTCGTGTTGGTGGGCCAGAGAATCCTTTACTTGGAGGTTCTGACTTAACAACGATGATTGGACCTGGCAGAGGTTGTTTCAATACTGCATATTCATGTGATTTTTTTTGAATCATTTTTTTTTCAAGGTGATGCCAGTTTTGATTCTTTTGGGGTGTCAAGATACCAGAATCGTAGAACGATGAATAGTTCAGACAGAGCTCTGATTAATGCTTTCAAGGAAATTAATGCTATGGCAGACAGAATCAACCTCCCGAGAACTATAGTTGACAGAGCTAACAACCTATTCAAGCAGGTCCATGATGGTCGAAATCTCAAGGGTAAGTTGTATGGTGTACTCTTCAAATTATGGTACAATATTTGTGTTCTGGTGTGAGAAGAGTATTTTCATAGATTAATTTTATGCCAGAGATTCCAATTTTATTCATAATGTGACCAAGTATACTTTATTCATTAGTTATGTTTGTGTTCACATTTGTAATTTGTGTCTGAAGACTGTATCGAGGAGAAATACATACATATAGTTGATGTCAACTAAAATGAGTCAGCCAGAAACATAAAATTGTTTTGTGTTAAAAACGCATTGCGCATTGTCGGTGGCGCAACAGCCAGAAGTAAATAGTCTTGAGTCGGGCGTTAAGTTATAAGTTATTAACTTATAATTGTATAAATAAACCTCATTTTGAGTACTGTCCAACTTTAATGCATTTAATAAACCAAAATAGGCTTTTCCAACTTCAAAAACTCCAAAATAGGGCCATGAGAATTATATTAAGATTCAGTCATTATACTTCCATTGATCACATGTTAAATATACTACAATGGCTGTCGATTATTCTTTTTAACAATGGTTATTATATTTAAAGTAACCAAAAGTCTCCAACCAACATATTTTAATGAATTTTTGGTTTTCAATAAAGAAAATACTGTAAGAGGGTTTAAAAGTAAATTATTGGAATACCTAAAGCGTTAGTTAGTTGGAAAATATGTATATTATATGAATGTTACTATATCAACATTGGGTCTTATAAATTGTATATTTTTTATTATTATCTTTTTATTTAGTTTATCTTCATTATTGTTATTATCTATATACAGACTTGAATTTTATTAATATTTTTGGCACTGTGGAAATTTAAATTGTCAATTAGTTATTATGTCTTGTAAGATTAGGATGTATCCTATAATGAAGATTACTACTACTACTCTTCACTGGGGTATATAACCCAGTGGGTATAAACCCCAGTGAAAAGGTATGAACCCCCCTACTGGGGTTTACATACTTCAGAATCAAAACTCTTTATTCCACAGGTGACAACAACTCACCCTGTAAAGGTATTATTAATTCCCCTCCTGGTGCATGGCATACAGTTTTTAGTAATGTTTGATCTGTTCTGTTCCATTATTTATACAGTGGGTATCTTGTGCTGTAGCTGTTTTTATTAATCTTTATTATTAGGTACATTATACATTATTCTGTGACTCCTTTTTCAAGCTATTTGCTGTATTTTCCTTGTTTATGTACACTAATCAAGTAAATCTATAATATTTCAAATTATTATTTTCCTTATAGTGTTTTGTGATGAAATTATTCGAGCAGTTACTATCTGGTTATCAAAATGTGTACTATTAATCAACGTATTCCAAAAACACTTTATTGTGAGATTTTCACTAAATTGTTTTACAAAAACGCAACACGTGTTTCGCCATACAATGGCTTCATAATATTAATTGAGTTCAGGATAACCAATTCTTTGATTCTTTAATTTTTATTAAATAACTATCAGATAAACGCAGACCATTAGATAAGCATATTTTTCTAGAGAAATAGCAAATCACAATTAAATAATTTGTAAAAATTGATAAGGGAACCGGGAATTTCAATAAGAATGTTATGATGCTGTTCTCAATTAGTATTCTTAAATCTATGACAGTTTGATGATTTTTGTATTAATAAATATCGGATACATAGTTTTTAAATGGTATGCTTTCCCACATTATTTTAATTAAATAAATTATTAGACATACGCAAGTTTGTTATTTGATTACTTAACTTAAATAACGAAAGTTCAGTTAGTTTTAAAGTAAAATACTTTGTGACAGGCGTTTCTGTTATCACAGTGGGTAGAATTGTACAGGAAGCTCAGTGGTCATTGAAAAATAACAGTCACATAAGTTTTTCAATAAAAAAAACATTACAGAAAGTCACCTTTTACCAATTGTCTGTGATAATGCCTGCTATCATTCTGTACAAGTTAATCCAGCACCTAATAGCAATTCAAGGAAAAATAATGATTGAATGGCTGATTCAAAAGAATATTCACCTTAATCCTACTAGTTTAAAACTTGAACTATGTCGACTAATCAAGTCGAATATAGAACACTTTATAACTTACCAGTTCGATGACCTCTTACGAGAACATGCTCACGCCGTTTTACGCTTACCTCCATACCATCGGGATTTAAACTCCATAGAACTGATATGGACAACTGTAAAAAAACGTCAGACAAGAAAATGTCACATTCAAACTAGAAGATGTAAAGAAATTAGAGGCAGAATTTTGTAAAATCAACTCTGACGATTGGAAAAAACGGCGTGAACATGTTGGCTAAAGTAGAAGATAAATATTCGGAAAAAGAAGTTCAGATTGATGTTCGTCCTGTCATAATAACATTAAGATATGATTCAAGCAACGACATTGACTTTTCTTCATCTTCTGAGGAAAAAATCAAAACTTTTGAAATGTACAGCTTGTTAAATTTAGGATGAGACTTGAGAATTCTCTCTCACTCTCTCTCGCTCTCTTAGTCTGCTAACGAATGCACATCTAGTGGGCGGGACTATACCGGAATTTAGAAAGCTCTTCCTACATTTGATAAGCTGGTATTTAGTGATTATAATAAGCATACAAATTTTCAGGATTCATCATAATTTGTATTATTTTTAATGTTACATCATTCTTACATTGTATTTTATTGTTTTATGTATAAGAAAATAAATATTTCAAAATAAAATCTCGAAATACTCATCTCTTAGACGAAGGTTCCATTCATACAGTCGAACCACGTTGAAACTAATCGAGTCTCAGGCACTTTGCTGTTTGGGCCGGATCTTTCCTGCACTGATGAGAGGTAATACATCGAAACCAGTAGGTGATCTACGAGGCTAACCTCCGTGAGCTACCTTTCATAAATATCGGATATAATTCAATATCCTAGCATGGTTTTAGCAGGGAAAAAATTGTTTTCCGGCAGGCATTTACCAGAACTGTGTAGGTAGTTGGGAGAGGTGAATATTTCAAGATTTTGTTTCGAAATATTTATTTCCTCACTATATGTATTTCAATCATTTCACAATATAAATTTTCAGTTACATATACTTTTGTGATAAGACTTTAGCTAGGTGATATCTACTTCATCTGTAAGATGTGAATTTTTTCATGAAAACAGAGCATATGACAATGACATTTTAGGTCCAACCGAATATTCTTATTTCAGGTAGATCTAATGATGCTATAGCCTCTGCTTGTCTATACATCGCCTGCAGGCAGGAAGGTGTGCCTCGAACTTTCAAAGAGATATGTGCAGTCAGTAAGATCAGTAAAAGAGAAATCGGTCGTTGCTTCAAGCTTATTCTGAAAGCTCTCGAAACGTCTGTTGATCTCATCACTACTGGAGATTTCATGTCTCGTTTCTGTTCCAATTTGTGTTTACCGAATATGGTACAACGAGCTGCTACCCATATAGCGAGGAAGGCGGTGGAGTTGGATATTGTACCAGGAAGGTCGCCTATTTCTGTAGCAGCTGCTGCTATTTATATGGCTTCACAGGTGAGGGTTATAATAATTGTGTTTAATTTTTACAACTAAGTGTTTTCAAAACACTATTTAAACCATCGATTTTAATTGACCCTCTATAAGAAATGTAGAGGTGCCAGATCTGGAGACTTTGAAGTCCATTCAATCAGTCTCCATCTTCCAATCCATCCGAATTTCTATTGAAATGTTATTGTTTTTTGACAGGCCTCCGAAGATAAACGCAGTCAAAAAGAAATTGGAGACATAGCTGGTGTAGCAGATGTAACCATAAGGCAGTCATATAAATTGATGTATCCTCATGCTGCACTTTTATTCCCGCAGGACTTCAAATTTGCCACGCCAATCGAGCAATTACCACAAATGTGAAGTTTTTGTTATGTACTCACAGTTGTTGATGGTATGTGACAGGTTTGTTTGGTCCACTTCTGAAGAGAGAGTTACAGAAAGAAATCTTTCATATGCAAACTCGCCTCTCTATTAAAAGATTCATTAGAAATTCCAATTGTGTAAAAAATTTGTATATGTGAATGTGATTCTTTCATTTACATCTTAGAAATATTTTTCAGACCAAAACAACTTATTGACTGGTGAATTTATGGACATTTTGACTTCCATTGCCTGAAAATAGTGTTGACTGATTTGAAATCTAAAAGAAAGATCCTATATACCCCTAGTAAATTAATATATTTACATGTTCACTATTTTAACATTATGTTATTTAAATATTCAGTTACTTTTGAAGCGGCAATTTTTTATAAGCATTTAGCGAATGAGTTGGAGATTTTAGCCAGCGGAACGACATTGACGGATTTCCAGATTTGAGTCTGATATCATCGGCCCCATATGCATCCGATTTGGGGGTTTCGATGATTTTGTTGTTAATTATTTCTGAGAATCTAAAATGGTGGTTATTCATTTTGTTACTACTGCAGTAATCTATTAGTTTCTGATCCACATAAGGGTTACCCACAACATTAAGGAAGAAGTCATTCATTTCATGAGGATTCACCAAATTTAGAGGCAATGCATTGTTATTTGTATTTCAGATTCCCTATTCATTCAAACTTCTCCATAATCCCGTGAAATTATTTCTCTATATTCAATTCAATGTACGCTTCTTTCCCTGTTTTCTTTAAGGACAAAATACAAATACTACGAGAAGATCCTCAAGGCGCTCTAAGAGCGGTGCCTGTGCGAAAGTATTGATTCACATTGGATTTCAATCACTGGAGATTAAATCCATGTGGAAAAACGTTCTCAGGAAGCTAATTCCAAAAGAAATAATTCTCAAATAGTGAAATTAAAGGCGTATTGAGTTGAACCTCAAAGCGATGGGTAGCCACAGTCCGTCGCGTATTTCTGATATGTATCCCTCTTGCTGGAATCAAATTTACCAAGTTACTTGAACACTTCCTGTGAAAATATCTATAGCAGAGGGACAAATCTCCAACCTTTCTTCGATGTTCCAGACTATCAAGGTTGCAAGTGATGTTCGCGTCTCCAACCAAGCGTTATTCCAAATATGGGTGAGATAGGATAGAAGGTCGCCCGTTGATCTTTTTTTTTTCAAAAGCCATATTGACGATCGCTTAAGATGTTGAAGCCTTCCAAATATTTAACGATATAATACTGTGTACCAACCTCAGTTTCAGTTATGATATGTGATGAAATTGGCTGATACTTGATAAAAAGCCATAACATATTTAAGAAACACTATTGTGAGACTGATCAGTTTTACAAAAACGCCTGAAGAAGCTATTGTATAGCGAAACACATGTTGCAGTTTGTAAAACTGCATAGTGAAAATATCACGATAAAGTTTCTTGAATATATTCAGTTATGATGAATTTTGAGTGAGCCTTTTCTTCAAGCTTATCATTTGTTGCAAGTTATAAGCTATGTAAGGTTGATAGTTCAGTCTCTTTCTAGTTTTACATAAAGGAACATAAACATTCAAAAGAGAAAGTATTGCTGAGTTGAAAAAATCAGTCCAGATATTCAGTATCATTAATATAGTTCCAAATAATATTTGAAGCATCAGTAGAAATGTACTTCGAATTAAAGTCTTTGTGATTTATATACCAAATGAAATTTGAACCTGTTGTAGGACTGTTGTACTTTGAAGAGAAATATTTGAATGTCTAATGATTCAGCAACTCAATTTTATTTAATAGGACCTGTCTTGTCGGTGCAAATGACTAACCTGTGAATTTGGTTCTAAAAGAAATGACCAATGTCACAATGAGACAAGTGATACAAGTATATTGCTAGGGGAATATTTTCCCATATAACTTTTCTCAATGATATATTCATCATTTTTATGAAATTTTAAAAAAATTCCAACCGAGGGCGACAGTTTCAAACTACCTAGATATGTTCAGTTACAGAATACATTTCAATGTCACTAAATAACAAAAACATCTCTTCAAGCAGGGTACTAGACGCTGTTAATTTTGCTGTTTACTTCTGTATGGTGATTTTGGTCCATAGACAATAACTTTTGCATAAGATATATTGCTGGTATATCAGAAGGAGACGAATTTCTCTCCCACTTTAGAGTTATAATCTTCTTTGAAGTATTCCTATATAAATCATGAAATATTCATCATTTACATGATCTAGAGAATTCCAATTGGATTTCAATCTACCAAGATATGCTCAGTGAGATAATACATTTATTTGTGACTAAATAATAGAAAAATTTCTTCAAAGTGACATGTAAATGTAGTCACCAGTCGAAAGGGTAAGGGAGCCAGCTCCAACCTGTTTAAACCAAGATGGCTGTCGGAACATGTAAATGTACAGGGGAGTAGGCTTGCTGTTAGTTTCAGAACCATTTAGAGAAATTTTACTTCTTTATAGTGATTATGGTTCAAAGAAGACAACTTTTCCATAAGATATGATGGATTGTTGGTTACAGGAGAGACATTTTTCTCCCGCTTGAAAGTTTTAATGTTCATCTCAGGAGTTTTCCCAAATAAATCAGGAAATATTCATCATTTATATGAACTCCTACAAAATTCCAACAGAGGGCGTCACTTTCAAATTACCAAGATATGCTTAGCGGAAGAATACATTTATATGTGACCAAATTACAAAAATATTTCAGGCAGGGTGGTATGTTTTTTGTCAATTTCAGCAAATAGAGAGTGTTAACTTCTTCATCAAGACAACTTTTGCTATAAGATATTAATATATGTTATAGCAAATGAAGTTCCATTTCAAAGTGTTTCAAGTCTTCTCTTTTGCAACTTCTGGGTTATAAGTGTCTCTGTCTTTTTCAAAGCATCAATATCTGTATGTTGTGTCTTCCTGGATGTCCCACCCACTCGTATTTCCCATCTATATGAGCATTTATTTTATAATATCATATTGAGCCAAAGATTGCGGTTTTGAAGTAGCGCCATCTACCAAATTTACAGAAAAATAGGAATTTTTTCAATCTTGTTACTAAAATACCTCAAAATTTCATTGAATTTCCTCTGAAATTGTTCCATTTTAATGGATATGCCAAGAATTTGGCAAAAACTTTAGAGAGTTCATTTTCAATTTGATGAATTGTCACAAACATTCATAATCAGAGTCTTCAGGTGAAATTCTTCATGCACTCTGCAATTATGCAGTAAAAATGCATAGGTATTAAAAATAAAAGAACAAATGAAATTGCAGCGGTTGTATTGCATAACTCATACATTTTCTCAACAAAAATACAATATTGTCAATATTGATCCTTCAGTAAAAAACTCAAATCACTTCCAACGTCAAACTCACGAGGTTTCTGTTCCCTGAAACAAAGAATGAAAATTAAACATTGAAACAAGTAACTGAAAATGAATCTTCTAAGGATTATGTACAGAAATGTAAGTTATTGATTTTGGAAAAATTGTTTGCTTATACATCTTTCAACAATTATCAGTTTTATTTCTCATTTTCAATTGTAAATTGGCTTGTCCATTGAAATAAATGAAAAAATAATAAGAGAAAGTGAATGCAGTTCTTTTTCTATCCCTTATTTAAATTCTTGTAAACCAACTGATGTTTGTTGATTGGTGAAAGTTTAGAATAAACTTGTCTAGAAATGTGTATATGATTGAAAAAAACTCACTTGGAAAACAGTCTTGCGCTCCGAATTCCTTTCAAAATAGCAGTATTATTCTTAACATGAAGTGTACATCCCTCCCTAAGGCCCAAAACAGGATATGACTCTTTCTCCTCCAAATACTGGAGGATCCTTTCTTCCCTTGTTTCTCCTTTATGTGTTGAAGTAAGGTCAGGATCTTGATAGTGCGGGTTAATATTGAAAGGAACCAAATTGAGAGCCTCAAACGATGGTGGGTAGACAATTGGCATGTCATTAGTAGTGTTAATGCTCACTGTTGCAACATTTGTACCTTGAAATGAATAGGAACATAAACAAGAGTTCTGTATGTCACAACGATATTCTAAACTTTCCAGTAAAAATAAAATTGGAAATTTCATTGATCATCCAAGAAATATTTATTATGTGTGAGAAATTGTTTTTTTTTGTCTCACTGAAGAAGTAATCATAATAAAAACCCTCGCCTAATTCCTAGACATAGCACTGTACTATTCAAGAGAAGTTTTTGTGATTCAGCAAAACTGTATTGTGTATTGAGCACAGTCAAAAAAACAAAATTCAATTCAAAAAGCATTAAGTACAGATGAAATGAAAATGTCAAGAAAATAACAGACAAAATTTCTAGAACACAATGTGTGCAGTGTGCACTGCAAATGTATCATCTTTCTTTTGAATTCAAGAAATTACAAATTGAAAATCCTCTCAACAGCAATGAATGAACTTCAGCTATTACAACTATACTGTGCTTTAGTTGAATCCGAACTTAAATATGATCTTTGATTTTTGGGTACAGCTGCATATGTGTTCACAATCTGTTCATGTTCGACTGAATTTAGACACATAATACTATTGAACACTAGAACCATGAATACATGGCCATTTAACATTGATTTCTGACTAGAATATTTCAGCCTCACCAGCACTTGCTCCAATGTAGGGTATTCCATCTTCCAAAACTCGTTTTCTGATAGCTTTTACCAAATTGAGGTCGTATAATGTTTTCAGTAACCGAAATGTATTTCCTCCTCCAATAAATATGGCTTGTGCTTTCCCAACTGCTTCCAATGGATTCTCAGAGTGGATACCGTCAACCTGGAAACCTTTATTATCAACATAAAATATTTTTCCATTAAAAAGAAAATACCTACCCCATTTTTTAAAAGGTTGTTGCACTTTCTTCAGATACTGATCATAATTTCTCAAGGCATAAGGAACAAACAATACAGCTGTAACATTATGTCTGAAAGAAAAATCTTGTCAGTTTAGGAGTTGGAATTTAAATCATTTTATTTTTTCTTACTCAGACAGAAGGTCACAAATATCATTCTCAGCATAGTCCAAAAATCCATGCCCATGAACTTTTGAAGAAGAGAGCAATAAAAGTTGCCTTTTCGACATGTTATATAATCCTGGAATACACTTACTGCTGAAATGAAAAACTGTAAACATGCAACTTGATTCAATGATAAGATAATTGTTCTGAAATCAAAATTGTACTTTTAATGTTTACATTAACCTCAAAAACAACAAATATCAATTTTCAACAACTTTTTTGTGTTTTGTCCTTCTCTGTCATACTGCTTATCAGAGTTATGTAATCAAGTGTGAAAAAAATAAAATAAGGAAATTTCATGATAGAAAAAACTGAGGGACCTTCATGTAATTGTCTAATTTATATCTTTATAAACTGTCTCATTTTATAATATAAAAATCATTTGGCTTGATTGATATCTGATTGTTAAAATCACGAAGTTAAATGAAAAAATACTTGCACAATCGGATCAGAATAAAATAAATGTTCGAAATACTGAGACCAATTAAATTAAGAAGTAGAGGTTCAGGACATCACCTTGAGCTTATTTTTCTAAAAGTTAGACAACCAGTAAAACATTAAAATGAAGACTTGATTGCATGTTAGAAAGCAAAATTATTAATGTTATTTCAAACCAATTCTAAAGGACTTTTAATATTTTGGATTAATTATCGCAGTTTGCGTAGGCAGCGCACGAACGATACAGTAGTTCAATTCGTATATTTTCGTTAATAAGCGAAGTTAACAACTGTTTCATTCATTGACTTATTGTATTGATCTTTAAACACCTTGCAGCAGTGTGTACAGTGAAAGATTTTTTTCTGAAGCTGGCCTGATTTACGAAGACAAGGGAACCAGCTTGCTACATCTTAATGCAGAGAAATTAGTATTCATTCAAAATAATCCTTTGGTGCAGTAATTCATTTTCTAAGTTGGAGAATTATGGTGTGATTACTGATTGTGTTTCTTAAGTGAAACTAATTGAATAAAGTAATCAGGTACCTAAAAATTGTTTTTTTTTTCGTCGAATAGGTGCTAGTTATATGATATTCGGCCGATTAGTATTTAGGCCGCCGAATAGCTACCGGATATAATAATAACAACATGTATTTATTCTAAGATACATATAGATTGTTTACATTTGGAAAATCAATTATAATCCTAAAGCCGACATCAATAATTCAAAATTACTGATTTGTCCTACCACTCAACCTCACACAAGTTTAACGTTATGGAATATGTGTAGAATACAGAAAATTGAAAAAAAAAACAATAAAAGGGACTCTTAACAACTCAAGGATCTGAAATATATTATTTGGTTTATTGCTTCCTCAAAAAATTCTTATAGTAGTACTTAAAACTAATTTCTTTCTAAATTATACAATCTAAGATACATATAGATTATTTACATTTGGAAAATCAATTATAATCCTAAAGCCGACATCAATAATTCAAAATTACTGATTTGTCCTACCACTTAACCTCACACAAGTTTAACGTTATGGAATATGTGTAGAATACAGAAAATTGAAAAAAAAAAAACAATAAAAGGGACTCTTAACAACTCAAGGATCTGAAATATATTATTTGGTTTATTGCTTCCACAAAAAATTCTTATAGTAGTACTTAAAACTAATTTCTTTCTACATTATACAAAGCTATTATCGCAAATTTCCTTCATATCGATTTGGGGAGGTGGAAGATAGATCAAATATTGATGACTCTGTTTATTGTAAAAACTTTGATCTCCTTAAACTAGATTTCTATTATCCTATGAACAGAAAATTAAAGAACGACCCATAAATTCTCACCTTTCCTTTCAAGCTGACCAGAGTTTTATATTCATAGCCCTTGATATTCAAGAACATTGTAGAATATTTGACAATGTTCATTTATATTTCTTCAAACTTAATTGTATTGCTATGCATTAAGAGATAACTAATGATTATGCCAGATATGAAAAAAAACATTCAAATTTGGGTAATATAATTTTTTAATACACAAAAATCAACACACTCTTACTAAAACAAATATTTCGAAAACACGTCTTACAATATGAACAGGAATGTCATGAATTTAAACTATCAACAAATTTTGTACGATATAATTAATACTCATATATATTTAAAAAACAGGCAATTGATAATATAATACTTCTACATAGCTAAAAAATAAAAGGCTTAATGGTTAACTACTAACATTTGTTTTGCCTTTGTAATGTGGAAACACTTGAATATATAGGGTAATTCGCTTGACGATGAATAATCTTCTGAAAAATACTTTCATGTAACTATTTCAACTAAACTGAAAGTTCAGGGGGCTTTTACCACGTTCGTCAATAATGTGCTTGATGTGCATTTTATTAGTATTGTTAGAACTGAACAAAGTCTGGCAAAAAGCTGAAACGACTTTATAGTGAATAAAATCTTGAAATAAACTGGCATTGTGGAATATTCAGTATAATAGTTTTTTCCTAAGAATTATAACTATGTTTACAGTTCGGATATAAATGGAAAAGATGGCCTGTAAAACCTCGGTTTACATGTATTTCAATTCTCAGTCCGTGTTCAATTTTTTGAAATTGGATGTCATTCACTACAGTTAGGAACTCCCCACAGTTTATTCCAATATATATTCAAAGTGTTTACCATTCACATCTTGACGATAATGAAGTATTTTTACAAATTAATTTCTCACTTCATGAAATGTCCCTAAGATAAATTTGTTATAAACCCCTTTTTTTCTATCCTCAAGTTTTGAAATGGACTGTGATTGTATATCGTATACTTTTCACGTAAACCTTCAAAAACATCTAAAGGTGTCATATCAGGTGATCTTAAGGCAGGGGTTCCCAATTTTATTTGGACATGGAACCCTAAACCGAATCTGCATCCAATCTGTTTCGGTATTTATTTTGTTGTGTGAGCGTAACCTGGACATGGAACCCTACTTACATTTTATGATGGAACCCTAGCTGGTTATTTAGATAAGTAAAGGATTCACATAGTAGTTTGAATATTTTCATGTTCAGACTCGAAGAAAGAAAAAAAAGTCTGTGTGTGTGTACTTATGTACGCAAGTAAGAAGTTATACTTCGTTTATTCAAAATTATTTCTCGCTGTGATTTATTCGTTTGAGTTTATTCATGTAGTTATTCCAGATATTTATTAAAATTTATTTTGGTTATATCTTCATGTTGTACTGTGTATGGGACAACCTGACGATACATTTTATTATTTAAACTTTTGAAATTATTTTAAGAAAGAAACATTTTCATTTAATTCAATATTTGGAACAATTTAATTTTTCCGGATTTTAATAATTATTATTTGTATCTATTATAAATTTATCAATTTATTTGTACACTTATTACATATTAAATAAAAATGTAAAAAATTATTTTAGTTTCTGATATAAATAAATAATACATATCGTCAACTAACCTCAAATTCTAGAAATGTACTCAAAGTAATATGTAAAAACCACTTTTACTAATTATAATATAATCACAGTAAATTATCTTTAAATCAATAAATTGTTAATAAACATCAGTCACCACGATATAGTATTTGAAAAAATATATATTTATGTAGCCAGGCGGTTCAAGCCCTAGTCTGAACGATCGATTTTCACTTGCTATCGTCCACCCGTGTTAGGAATCACGTTTTCGACTTCTGAGGGTTGTCGTTCGTAGGGGTGCGATAGCTGGTTAACGAAAAAAACAGATTTTATTATTCGGACTGATACAAAACACGTGAAGTTTACGTAGAAGTTTTTACTTTTACTCTGTTGGTAAATTTTATTGGAAAACTAAAATGTTGACTAGCTAACTTCGGAGGCTTCCTCTCCGATCGCGACAGAAGACGGTTATGCCGATAACGACAGTCCTCAAAGATGACACATGGATGTCGTGGTTGTAGTGAAGTCCTATAATGAGGTGTTTTTTTAAAAAAATGTTAAGTTCCAATAAATATTGTAGTGGAAGATACTTTGAGAGAACTGGCGGCCTCCTACGCCAGTAACCAGGCAGGATGTCGACGGATTCGACGAACTCGTCAGTGCGAAAATAGATGTGTTATTTGTGATAGTCGTATTGAGAGGATTGGTAGCCCCTTAGTAAATAATGAAGTATTTTCATAAAAGAAAAGAAGAATTAGAAACTTAGAGTGGCCGCATTGCCTCGAGCATGACAGCTGCGCCCCCTGACGAAGCTTCTGTTCACTACGGACAGGAGGGGTGTGGCCAAATGCGCTCCACTGAGAAGCCATATAAATAAAAGAAGAAGAAGTTATCTTCAGGGTGTCGGTTTTTCGTGACGGTGCCCGCGCGCATCGTAAAAATTTACTCTCATCATTTTTCCCTAACGCGCNGGAATCTTTCTTGAAAAACCCTACAGACATGACAGCAGAAAATTGTCAAAAATGAATTGAGTAGTTCGATTACCCAGTACATACATATTCAAAATGACTAACTGACTAGTTCAATACTTGCCCTTTATATGGGTTGAAGTTATATCGATTACTACTAATTTGGCTGCTTTCATCAATTCTTTTGGAAAAAAGCTTACAACTCTTTATGAGACCAATTCAGTCTGACAATATTACTGTAATTATTCAAGTTTGAGATTCACGATTTCCATTGCAAGTTGAACCCACTTAGAAATAATCATAAAAAACTTCATGAAATTAGTGATTGACCTGATTTGTTGAAAAAAGTAAGATAGAAACTTTTTGAGTTAACATTATACAGATTTTTGATTAAAAAGTTCAACTAAAGTGTCAGTAGTTCACGAAGTGAAAAAGTTATAAACAAAAAAAGATGTTACGAGAATTATTTTAAATTATAATTCGGTGAGAGCATTGAATCTCAAACTCCTAAAAAGTTGACTATGAAAATCAACTATAGCCGCCTTACATTGCCGGCTCGTAATTAGACAAATACAACCAAAATATCTACCTACACAAAGAACTCCTCTCATGATTGGACACTCAACCTCAGGCAAATATTATCCACCCTTGTTCTCATGTTACCTAGAACGTCATGTGCCAATTCCTCGATGCTCGTGTACTTACACTTGCTGAAACTAAAAATGTCTGCCAGGAACTCCATCACCTGTTCTTTGAAGTAGACGCAAGTGTCTCTGAGGAGCTCATCGGAGCCGAGGAAACCCCAGGCTAAAAGGGGCGACAGCTGCTCCGAGAGAGTGTAAAAGTGAGCCATGAAGCCCTCCGGAAACCTCAGACGTCTTCGTTTGGCCTTGAGGACAGACCAGACAGCGGTGGTTAGTGCAGTTTCTTTGAAACCTAAAAATTGGAATGGTTTTTCAATATATACGAAATCAAGATGACTTAGTTGTTTTTACTAGCGAAACCGCATGACTTTTTTTTCAATTACCAATAATAAAATACTTGTATTTATCATTAAACTTTTTATTGAAACGAAAGTTTGTAGTCTTTCATTGACTTCATTCATCCAGGAAAATGTGCTGTTTATCGGAAGTTTGTCGTATTCGATATTTTTCTTTCTAAAGCTTTTCTGACAGATACGAAAGAAAATTTGAAATATTAAATATATCAGAGTTGTTAAAACTGAAAAGGGAATATTTTAAGGAGAGATTAGTTTTTTGGGAATAAAGCTTTTTGGCTTTCTCACATTTTTTGTTCAATGATGGAGAAGTGGAAAGCTAAACAACTTTTTTCACAAAAAAGTTGTTGAATGACTTTTGAAATATTCAATTCAAAATTAATGACTTTTTGGGAATTGTGGCTTCAGAAACATGTCTTCGTAGAATAAAAAAAATAGGTTTCAAATGGAGAAGGACTGAAAATAATAAAAATATTTGAATGAGCTTTGAGGATCAAGTATTTACAAAAAAATCAATTTCATAGTGGACATACATCTTCCAAGAACTGGACGGATGAATCAACCAAAGNCCTTATATTTAAATCAGGCACAACATCAGGGGATTATCATTCAGAAATGAATTCTGAAAATTATGGTAAATGGTTACAAGAAAAGTTAATCCCAAATTTACCTGTGAATTCGGTAGTCGTGACCGATAATAAAATAACTTGAGAAGGAGTTTGACAAGTCAACAAATATACACAATGATGGACTATTCTCCTTCAGAGAAACGTTATTGTACATTACCATGTCTACCATGTCATTTGGTAGATTGCTAACGCACACAACGAGGAAAGTCAATATACTGCAACGCACCTTTGGACAGCCATCGATTCTGGATGACCGCAGTCACACTCGAAGGGGGATGTTCCAGGTCATCAAAAGCATCCATGAGAATATAGTCACAAACTATGTCATAAAAAGATAGAGCCTTCACGCCTTTCGAGCTGAGTTCATCTTCGAGATCGCGCCAATTTTTCGGGTCTTGAATAAAACGAATCATCTCTTCATAACCTACAAAATAGTTGAACAAGAATCAGTCCTACTTGAGGAAGTCCTACTAGCGAAACACGTGTCATGGTTTTGTAAACCTTTCATAGTGAGCTGAATGAGATATGAGTATCAATAATCGGCTATATCCGTTCAATTTTTTTAAGCCATACTATTCTAATTAACAAAATAAAACTGTCACCAACCTATCAAGAAATCTTTGGGATCCTTATCAGCGTACAACAGTAAATCCGCTAATATCTGTCTACCCGCATCCACGAAAAAAATATAATTCAACTGATCTCTGAGCAAGTGCTGGAACGCTAGCCTAAGGCAATGGAGTTTCGCCAAATATTCACCATCTGAGCCGCACTTTACCAGTTCTGTTCTGAGGGTCCTACAAGGAATACCGCCACTTTCCAACTGACGAAGTGCTGCTTGGTAAAGAGGTAAAGATTCTAGATCGGGAAAGTACTCTGCGAACTCTTCAAATTCCCTCAGATCTGCTACCTGAAAAGTACCGACGATAAAGAAGAGGTTGTTGAGAAGTAAGGACGTGTTTATTATTGAAATTGGTGACTGGAGTATTGATTATCTACAGTATAATCACTGAGGATACTTCTCTGAACTCAGGTTGTGCTAAGACGCGCTAGGTTCACCTCCTCAGGTGCCTTTCACAAATGGATATATGCTAAATGGTCTCATTTCGCGGAAATATTCAAAGCGAGTTGGCGTTACTATTAAAAGTTGAGGTTTTATGTGTTCAGTATAGAACAAGGTGCAGAAGTACGTTATAACGCCATTCAAGTGACGTATAAAATTGTATAAAGAAAACTGTACATGTATTTCTAATTCTATCTGTTCACAATCATTAGATTGTCCCACTGACAATAAATGACCTTTATAAATAGTAGAACGATAGGTTTCTTTGGAAGAGTGTCTATCGATTCTGCAATGTAACATGGCTAACGGACTGCCAATAGCCACGATGCTCTCTAGGTGACTCGTGGAGTTGTTATCAACATTGCCTACCCAAAACACGAGACTAATGACCAAGCAGTATTGAAACACAAATCGGTTCACACTTACCAAAAAGATATAGTTAGAAATATCTTATAAGAAAACATATATTTTATCTTCTACCTTCTTCTTTACATGAATTAGATAAAGATGTTAAATATGTTTTATGTTTTAGAGACGTATCCTCGATGAATATACTATAAAATGGTGTCAGGTGTGGGGTCGTCTTAGTATAAAGCGACTCTCATTCCTCAGTGATTCAAAATATTGAATTCTTCTTACCATATCTTGTGCAGATGCAAAACTCTCTCCCCCCGATAAATCTACATCCAAAGCACCGTTACTTCTCGTGCTCCTATCGGCTTTGAAGAGAATAGATCTCTCGTCCAAGAACAGCATCTCAGAGTTCTCCTGCAGCTCCAGAGCGAATTCCAGGAGTTGTTGGAGATCTCTGCAGAAACCCGCTTCTTCAGGACCTAAGACGGCTAGCGGTCCGGCTCCATCTTTGTTGCGGTATGCTGCGAGGGCATCTTCCCAGTAACTTATGCAGGTCTCTAGAGCTTCCATACCTAAAACAAACAATAACGGTGTTATTGTTAGTACTATATACTTATATACTACTAACGATCAGCAGAATATGTCTAATCCCATTGAACTCGTTTGGCGGTTTATAATGATTATATTCAAATTCTAAGGGTGATGATCACCAAGGAGCGACGAATTAGATATGAGGTTATGATAAAAAAATGGACCCTTTGAGTTGCAAATCAACCTTTTGTACCTTTTATTTTTCTCTATATATGTGTCTTGGATATATTTGATTTGTTTCGTTTTTGGTGTCACATATTATTATAGATATAGATTACCAGGAATGTAAATGATAATAATCTACTTTCTAAATTTTTGTGACTCGAAAGCAACTTTTTAGACCTTAATGAATGTTTTTTCGGGCTTCCATTGTCTACAAATGTGTTAACAGATTTGAAATCTATGGAAGAAAATAATGGATGAATGGAGGAAGTTATTTAAAAATACAAAAAATAACCGGTTCAAAATATTTGGATGAATTACTAAAACTGAGAATTTTGTCAAAAATGAGAATGAAATTCTAAAAATGTATGAAAAGAAAACAAATACTTGTGATCTGAAATGAAGATGAAACAATAAATAAATGGATTTGATTTAATGTGCTAACAATAATGTTCAATACTTCATTCATATTTTTTTTATAGATTTCAAATCTGTTAACATATTTTTAAGCGAAAGAAAGTCCGAACTTGTAACATTCACCAAGAAACATTATCAACCACATTCAAACAAATTGTGATAAAAATGTATCTTCCCACATCTTTAAAAGTAAGTCCTAGATTCTGAAACAAATTTCCAATGAAGGATATTCATTATCTGAAATATTTTCTAGTTTCCAACTCATCAATAAACACTAAAGCACTTGAAGCAGAGTCAATCTGGATCACCATCAGTTCTTATCTTTCAAACCAGCAAAGCACCTTTCATTTGACGTACCTATTTGATGCTTTATGTTCCTATAAATAGAGATAGGAAGCCCCCAATTGTTCTGTAATGTAAATTGCTTTTGATGCGCTCAACTACTTAGCTTCAAACGTTTCATGTACGTAAGATTCCATGTACGCCAGAGACCTTTCATGATACATTATTTAATAAATACAAGGCAACTTAGATGACTCCATATTCTGATATACTCGTATCAGATATGACTGTCTGGGAAATTATGTTGGTATTCAGTGAGGCATTATTCTTTTCTAGATTAGATTATTTGACCAAGGCTGCTTATTTTTGAATTCCTTTCAATATTTCTCCTATATCAATACATCGGTTAAGAGATATGAAAATTATTTTTGATTTTATTGTTACAACTTAAAAATTTTCATTCATACGAGTATATTTTTTGAAATAAGAATCAGTGATTTTGAAACTGAAGATAAACCTCAAATATTATTTTGAATAATCTTTTTACAGCTCCGGCATGACCCCGGATATTGATATTGTAGATTTTAGGATATGTGTGTGTAAATTCAATCGTCGCAAAACGCCATCAGTTCATGGGTCTCTTCAATTTTGGGAAGAGGAAAAAGTCGCAGAAGGCCAAATCTGGTGAATATGGTGGCTGAGGCATGATAACGGTGTTGTTTTTGGCCAAAAAATTACGGACTGACTATCTGTGCAACATGGGGTCTGACGTTGTCTTGCATTAGTAAGACATTTTCGCCGATATCAGGGGCGAATGGTACTACGTGTTGCTCCAAGATCTCAATTACGTACCTTTCAGCTGTAACGGACCCATTGTGTACGACCACGAGGTCCATATGGGCGGTCAAAGAAATACCACCCAACACCATAACGGAGCCTCCACCAAATAATGTGGTTTGCGAAAGTTACATTGAGGATATTGTTCATTGGGGCGAAAAACACACCAACACGTCTGTCTTTATTGTATAAACAAAACCGGGACTCATCGGTGAATAACACTCGTTCCCAGTCAGCCTCTAACCAATTGACGTGTTTCCTGGCAAAACGTAGTACCTCCTTTCGATGGTCTGCAGTTGATAGAGGACCCCGGGAAGCAATTCCAGATGTTATGTTGTATTCCCTGAGTCACTGGCGAACAGTTTCCGTACTGGTTTGTATATCATACACGGTTCTAAATTGAATTTATAGACTTCGATGTTTAATAAACCGTTGTCGAAGTGCCAAAATTCTCAAATATGGAATCTTTCAAGATCTGTGTGATAGATGTGTGGGACGCATTGCATCGACATAAATCTGTTTTTCCGTCAGCTTCGAAATTACCGGATTCGACAAACTTTTGAATAATGTTAGGTACGGGTCGTGTCCCGATTTCTAGATAAATTAAAAAAAATTATACATGCGTTCCTATTCACACGGAACGCCACAAATCTTCGAACACCACGATATAATCTTTTAAGGCGAGTCAGGTTTGCACCGAACACAGTTTTAAATATTTATTTAGTCTGTATAGGTTGCTGACCCAGATTATGTAAACAAAATGGTACAATAACGCGCTTTGTATGGTAAGAAAATAAGAAATTGAAACGCGAAATTGATATAATTATGCATACAGAAATTAACTAAGAATATTCGGTTCCAGAATCCCGTCATCGGTTAGAATTCAAAATTTGGGTGATTTTTCTTTCAATCAATTTGGCAGATAAATAAAAATAGTATCCACGTAAAAAATCAATTTCTACCAAGCAAGCGGGTCAGTACATTCATAATTATTCCTACATATAATATATTAACATATGAATAAACAATTGATGAAAAAAACTCATTAAATATAATCGATGAAAATCTTTTTTGGCGTGCACTTTTCTGTGTGAGTATATCAATCAAACACATATTTCATGAAATTTCACCGACATCATATATTCTTGAAAACAGTCCCTCTGAAAAAGACGTTTTTTATATAATAATCAATATTGGCACTGAATAATAGAGAATGTAAATGTTTACTGAAAATGACTGTGCCAAACGTGTTATACGGGTTTGTTGGGTGCAGGTTTTTATGTCTTATGTATAATCCACATCTGCGACAGACATTATCAAAGACACTTTTGATGATGTCTAACTGTAATTATAGGCGAAAGTCGCAGTTTATTATCAGAGGAGCAGTTGTGTCAAATCTATTTTCCGTTTGCCGTTTCGTCTACCACTGCGGTATAGATTATAAAAGCTGATGAGGTAACGGTCCAAGTGCTCGAAGGACCGCTTAGTATACCAAGTATAAATTATTACGTAGATAAGGCATACAATACCTTAATTAAATTGAAAGAATATTTTTAAACCACATACAATTTACATTAGTACTTATTTTATTTTGATTTTCCTAGCTAACCTGTTTTACCAGTACCTACAACTGATATGGTTTGATTAGTTTCCCATCTAGCCTGGCTAATTAAAGAACAAGTAACCTGCTTCTTGCAAATCTTAGATACGCAGAAAGCCAGAAAGCACTTTTAATTCATAACAAACAAGCGCAATATGCTGGTTGTGGCTCTCCTGAAAGATATTTTGAAATATTTGAATGTGCTCAACACACAGTTACAAGGAAATGTTAAATTAATATGTGATCTGATACAAAGAGTGTCTGCTTTTCGTCGCAAGCTGGATATCTTTGAAAACGATATTGCAAAACAAAAAATTCATTCATTTTACGACAATTTTTGAATATAAAAAGAACTCTTAAGAAGACATTGTTCAGTTATTGACAGTTATCGAGAATCTGGCTGATCTTAGGAACGATGTAGTGGCAGAATGGACAGATGTGGCTACCAAGTTGTTTAATCTGTCAAAGCCATCACTTCAAGTAGAGAAAATCGATTTTCAAGAAGATGTGTCTTTGCATATGTATATATGAAACGGTATCCTAATGAAAATTTTGTACCAAACATGTCTCGTAAAAACATAAAAATTGCAAGAAACTAGCTATATATTTGGCCACTATGCTTGGCTTGACATACGTATGTGAAACATCTTTCTCAAAGATGAATTTTTTGAATATCGTTTGAGATTAACGGACGCCTAATAGAAGACCCATTTCGAATTTGCTGTTCCTCTCGAGAAACAAACTGGCTAAAGACCGTCGGTGTAGTTTCTTCCATTAATTTCAGGTCTTGTGTTCTATAATTCAGAATTTGATTTGGAACCAAAATAATACACACATCATTGTTATCAGTTGTTTTTTTCTGGACCTTATTAAAAAAAATTCCCACAGTATCCGGACCCCACCTAAAACTACTTGCCGACCCCTACTATAACATATTACCTACTCGTATACCTAATTTTTAATTAATGAAACTACCTAAAAAGGTCAGGTATGAATTTATTAACAATATCAATACATTTTTCGAAAGTACCGTAAATATACCTAACTATATTTATCTGGAAATGAACAGATTCAATAATGGAGAATTATTCAATTCAGTTTGATCATTCATAAGATGAGAAAGTTTGAATTTGTTTATTAACATATTCTCCAAAAGGTTAAGTTTCAAACCTTTCTTCTGGAAATGGAGGGGCTTGTATTCATGGTTGAACTCATGTCCCTCTGTGATTGAATGAGTGGCATATGTGGAATTTCTTTTTCCATTCTGGAAACTATATTTGTGTTCCTTTATGCGGGCTTTGAACGTTCTTCCAGTTTGACTTATATAAGACAACGGACCACATGATAATTTATGCACTCTTAATGTGCATGCCTACGTTGTTGTTGGTTTTGAAAGCAATATTTACACCTTTGCTGTGCAGAAAATCTGAATTATTTGTAGTGGGTTGGCCTAAGTAGGTTGAGGTTCTATAACTTTTATCCTCTTCTCTTCGAATTGGGTGAACTTCTTTCAAAGCTTGACTGTATAACTTTTTTGATAATAAATAGTGTGTTAGACTGCTATCGTAATCATTGTTTATGGATATTTGTTTTATTATGTTCAGTTCTTTATTGAAATTCGCCTGTGACAAGGGCACATTTATCAATCTGTGGACCATACTGTTGAGAACTGCTACTCTATGC